GGATTCCGTGAGGGGCTTCACGGACACAGAATTCATTAATAATTTCCGAGTGAGAAGGGAAACGTTATCACCACCTGAATCACCGTTGTCTGCCATTTTTTTTATTACCCCTCGCCTCCTCCAGCGCAGAATTGTGACATCTGTCACATTTCAATGACATAAAAATCGCATGAAGTGCGACCTGGCCGTTCAGACTGAAGTCACATTGCAAAAGATCGGATACGTATCCGATTTAGGACCACACTTGAAAGTGGCCTGGGTCGGATTTGAAAAAAATCGAATTTGTGCTGTTCACACTGTCATAAGGAAATCGGCTATGGGTCACATTTGGGCAAAAAGATTGGATTTGAGTCACTTCAGCCTGCAGTGTGAACATGGTCTTAGTAGTGTGTGTACCTCCTCTCTGCTCCTCTTCTCCTTCTCCACATCCCTCTGCAGTCTCTCCGCTCTCTCCTCAGCCTCCTCTGCTTGGTCCTGTAGAACCTTGATCTTCTTCTTCACGGCCTCAATGCTGTTCATTCCTCCACTCATCTTCTTCTTCTACAAAATAAACAGGAGAAGGTGTTTTATGTTCCCTATGTTCAAGTGTTGTGTATTATTATTATTATTTAAGACAAACTAACAAGTCCCGTTTGTGTATCACAGCCTGATATCTCTAGTTTTAAACCCCATCAGTGATCACACTGTTGCACTGGCTGACATGTTCCTTCATCACTATGAACACACACACACACACACACACACACACACAGTAGTTTATCTTGACTCAGCCCCCCACACACACCGTCCTGCTGACACTAACACTCACCAAATTTGAAATCATCTGCCACCAAAAATAGCCCCCCAACAAATACATAGTTTCTTCCTGTTTGATGAAAACAAGTTTAGTGTAGTCTAGTTCACTTCACTAAACTACTTTTTCATTTTAAGCAGGAACTGACAGGCTTGGGGCACAGTCTGAGCCTCAACATCAATCGCTGCATGACTATTAGTACATTATTTAATTTCATCAATAAAATGTCACAAAACAAAGTTATCACGTCTTGTTTTAACTCAAACACATTCAGCTTTCCCATGTGTATGACAAAGGGAAGGATTCATCATAACTGACAAATTGGAAACAGCATTTTTTTTTAATACAACTTCAATGATTAACTCACTATGAAATCAGACAGTTTGTTCAACTAACTGCTGCAACTCTAATACTCCAACACTACAGAGGCTGTGCATTATCACTGCAGATGCTGAGGCTCTCCAAACAGAAACATCTGACCGTGACTGGTCCTCATCTTATCAGGTGTTCCCCAGGGTTCGCACCTGTTCTTTCAGGTAGGTTCAACAAACACAGGCAAAAAAAAGGTTTTGAGTCTGCCCCTGAAAACCCTCCAATTTAAGGGCTGTGTAGCCCTCCCACTTTGCCCAACCCCTCCATCCTAAAAAACAATCAGGACACCCCTACCACTACATGTGAGCACATAGAAAAGAGGGGTAGGGCGAAGTGGTAGGTGCAAGGGGGTGAACTGGGATCGGACCTAAGAAAAGGGTGTGAATGCTTGAAGGGGCAAATGTCAATGTGATATTTCAGTTCTTCTTAAATTATGGACACATTTCTAAAATTGTTTTCACTATCATTATGGGATATAGAGTGTAGACTGAGAAGAATGTAAATGATGTTAATGCAAGGCTGCAACATAAAATGTGAAACATGAAGACATGAATCTTTCTGAATGCACTTATGTCTGAGTCCTATTTACTTATTCAGTCACCACACAACACAATTACTATAAACAATTTAATAAATCAAATATAAATAAATATAGCAACAGTCTATTCTTAAGTGGTGACTGAAAAGGCTCAGGCAGAAGTGATGCTTAAATATGCCTGGACTAAATTCTTATCTATTTAAGCTAACCACACACACACACAAAAAGCTGTAGCCATCAAAAATAGCTCTATAAACCATTCTTTTAAAAACCAAAAGCCAAGTGCATATTAAATTTGTCAGCATTATTCCATAATTTAATCCCAACAAAAGAAATACACCTCCTTTTAATACAATAAACTTAAACTCAAATCATATTTGCTCTCCTGTATTAAACAGAATCTTTGATACCAAATGGAAGCAACTTTAATTTTGGTCCTAACATTATTTGCATTACTTTATAATAGATAGATAGATAGAAACTTTATTGCAGGCTCAAGGTCCAAACTGAACAACAAAAAACAATATACCAAATCATTAAAGTTCATTATATGAGACTTGAAAAACAATACATCTGTGTGATCATAGTAGCCTTCCTTATTACAGTCTTGCCACAATGCCTCATTGAAAAGTTGTTGTTGCTGAGAGTGGATCCTGGCATGTGCAGATGAATTTTGGACTTTTTGACAGAGAGACAGCGCACAGAGTAGGTAGCCTAACATTTAAAACAGCCACAGTGAGCACAGGGTGTGTACTGAGCCCTTTACCATTTACATTGCTGAAACATGACTGTTCTGATAGTTTCAACACCAACCAAGTTCAGACGACACCCTAGTTGTCGGCGTCGGTCTACAGAAAAAAGGTGGAGCAGCTGACAGCCTGGTGCACAACACACAATCCTGCCCTCAGCACCAATAAGACCAAGGAGATGGTAAATGACTTCAGAAGGACTGGTCACCGGCACCATCTCCCACTGACCATCAGTGGTTCTAAGGTGGAGAGGGTACAGAGCACCAAGTTCCTGGGGGACCACCTGACAGACGAGTTGACTTCCAGTGATAACACCACCACTGTTATTAAGAGGGCCCTCCGCAGACCAAAGAAGGTGGATCTTTCCCATCCCAGTCATGACCATACTCTATAGAGGCACCACTGAGACCATTCTCACTTACTGCATCTCTTCCTGGCTTGGTAACAGCACAGCAGAGAGACAAACTGAATAGGATAGTGAAAGCTTCTGAAAAAAATAATTGGTGCCTCACTGCTATATCTGCAGGACACATACACCAAGTATGAAGCAAAATGCATCATAAAGGAGTCAACTCATCCCTGTAATGGCATCTTCACACTCGCACAGTCCGGGCAAAGATACAGAAGCATCAGATCAAGGACCACTCGGCTGTTAAACAGCTTCTTTCCTACAGCACGAGGGCAATTGCTTTGCACAGGATTACGAGTGGTGAATGTGTGAAACAATTAAATTTTATGTGGGCATAAAAATGACAAAGGAAACTTAATCTTGACTTTTGTAATATGATTTACTGAAATTACTGTCATTTTAAAGGTCAACCCACACACTTCCACACAGCAAGATATCTGCCCATCCATGACATATGAAAGCATATACTGGCTCATTTCTTCATGTACTGTCGTCATACATATGTATGTAGACACACTGGGTTAAAAAAAGGAAGTTAGTGACAAAATTAACAGATTATTAATATTTTTGCAGATTATTTGTTTTGGTTGATTTAGTAATCAAATAACTATGCGAGCTGTCCTACTAACATAGAGGGCCTTCAAATTAAGTCTTGTTAGATTTAAGAGTCTAATACCTTTAATCAATAATGTATCTAAACTTTACCTGAATTTGATCAAGTCGCTAGTTTCATTAAACCTAGATCACTGTGGCTAAACAGCAGTTTCAGCAGCTGCATGTTTAACATAAAACGGTTATACATATCTTAAAGTTTTTTTTTTTAATCTTTACAACACCGTTACCTCTTGTGTTCTAACAATTGGTGTTACTGCCCTTGTTATTATTGATCAGCTATTTGTTCTGACGTGTTGGTGACCTGTAGTTAGCAAGTTAGCTCTTGATGCTAACAGCGGACCACCGCCCTATTAGCCTATTAGCAACTTAGTAAAGCTCAAGGCCAACAGAGCCCAGGTGCTCTGTACCTGTGTGATCCTCCTCACCTCTCTGAGTCCTCTGCAGAAAACACAACTGTTGCTCGAGCCTGATTTCACCTGACACCGTCACTTCCCTGTTAGCAGCAGGCCAATTGTTAGGTATTAGCGGCTAACGGAGCAGAGCTGAACGATCACCTTTTAAAACACAGTAAAGTTAAACAAACTTCGGCTCTGGTTTCTGTCTGAACCGGTTCACGATCTCTGGTCCTTGTGTGTGAGTGTTCGGGGTAGTCTGGTCTTAGATATTCTGGCCGTAGTCTTTGGTTCCTCTCGATCCTTGTCACCACCACTTCCTGATCCAGCCAACTCCCAAATCAGGACTACACCCTCTTCCGGGTTAAATTCCCTCCACAGGAAGTGACGCACAAACATGGGCTTTTCCAAGATAAAAATGATTGAAGTATTTAATATAAAATACTGAATATTTCTGTTACTGTCTGAAAAATAATAAATTTTACAGCAAAAATGAAAAGTCATTAAAACTTTTATTCTAAGTGCTGGAAGAAATGTTCAAATCATTTACTTCAGTAATAGTAAAAATACCACCACATGAAAATAATCTTTTAGGAGTAAACACTACTGAATTCAACTTTTAGCTGCAGTACAACCTATTGTCAGCAATAAAATAACAAATAACAAATAAAATCTCTCAGATTTAACAAATATGATCCATTTCATTAATATTGTTCAGAAATTGTCACAGGTGAGATTTTAAAATGATCTCATGACACAAATTCATTAAAAGCATCACTAGTAAAAAAAAAATTCAAAAAGTAAAATATGTTTATCATTTTATAAAATTATTTAAGAATTATTCAGTTTCAAATGTAGTTGTTGTTTGTTTGAAGTTGTTTTTTTTTACATTCTTATAAGAAATTCAAGTTCTTAATTTTTGTTGAGCTGTCTGATTATTGCATTTTACTTTTTCTAATATAGCTGCATAACATGAACTTCAAACATTGTTTTAAACTCTTTAGGCTTTAACAATTTAAACTAAATTCAGGAGTTTTCGTGTAATCAGATTCTCATCAACACAAGGAACTCAAAGTGTGGAATTTATTCAAAAATCTGTTTTTATCCCCATGAACTTGAACAGTGTGTTTTAGAGAAAAGTCCACTTCAGTGATTGAATTAATGTAACATTAAAACTGCAGCATGTGAACAAATAGTTCTGATTAGTTATTCATATCGCTATTGAATTCAGTTCCAATCCACACATAGATTTATTTAATTTGTTATTCAGCATAATCAGTAGTGTTTGTTGACTGTTATACTAAACTGTATATATGCTTATTCTATATTTAATAGTTTGTTAGTAAATATAGCTAAAATATGAATGTATATTATTATATTCAAAGCCAAATTTGACAGTGATATCAGCTATACCTGATTGGTCAGATAGTTTTAAAGAAGCTGAAATGAATTGTTTCTACAGAGCTTGGTTTTATAAAACAATACAACAATCCTTAAATTTTGTAAAAATCATGTTCAGTTCAATCCTGCTGGGAAAAATGAATAATCTTGAGAAATAAAAAGGCAAAGACTACTGAGTTGTCCAGCTGATTAGGTTTATAAAGAGCACAAATACAGTTAAAGCATAAACACTAGAAGCCTAATACAGAATAATCCTAATAATTCCTCATCACATCTTTATACTAACACTAACCTCCGTTCAATATTTCTACTGTTTTGAGTTAAAATATATTAAAATAATGAGCTCAGTCTTTTTTTTAACTGCTGTCAAGCATGTCAACACAACAAATATTACAGCATCATATCAGGATATTACAGCATTATTATTAAGATAGCACATCTGGATCATTGTGTACACCTCATCAGGACACAAACCTTAGTATTCACTGATTTTAGAAAATTAAGGAAATGCCATTATTCACTTTTCTTTGTGGAAAAACTGAGGACAAAGTGTTTCATTCAAAGTATTTTCTCTTCTGTTAAACTTGTGAAAGAGTCATTTCACCTGCAGGTAGAAGATCACATGATAAAAACACCTGTCATTAGGAAACAACTAAAACACACTTAATTCAGAGCTGCAGCCTAGGTCTGTAAATAACTTGTGTTTGGCACAATTTAGAGCAGCTGCAGTTCTTCATCAGGCTAACAAGTTGTTGACATACTGAGAATCACAGGTGTTATCATTAAAAAACAGCATCAAACAAGCTGACTGATGAATCCAACCAACCAGTTGTTAAGACAGAATACGTTCAGATTCTATATAGGCTAAATACGAAACAGGCTAACATGCTAACATGCTAACAGACAGATCTCAGCGTTCGGTCAATGAACAGCTTCTCTTTGAAAAAAAAAAAAAAAACACTGCTGATCTCAACACCATAAAGTCTAACCCCATCCCCAAACAAACAAACAAAAACCTGGTGCCTCTTCTCAGACTCATGGAGGTCTGGAGGGTAATACTGAGTCTAAGCTGAGTTCAGATCAGGGGACAATTTTAGATGCACCAAATATTCACCTTAGAATTTAATGGGGGAATCACATCATAAACTGGATCCAATTTTTAATTTAATGTGAACAGACACAAACAGTACTGACACCAGATTAACAAGAATAATAAGAGGTAGAAATTTACTTCAGTCTGATTCAACTTTCTCTCTGCAGTGATCAATCAGAACATCATACATTTTGTAATGTTTTATAAAAATGTAAATATTTTTGTCAGCAAGTTTAGTTCCCAAATTTAAAAACAAAATTTTTGGTTTAACATTTTACATAAACACAAAGATTTTTGGGTCACTATTCTAAATTTAATGTTTCTAAAGTTGAACTAGGTTTATTTTGTGTTTTAAGTGACTATATAAATACAGTTTAGCCTGAGGCTGTTTGTCTTTGTCACATTTAAAAAATGTTTGTAAGAGATACGAAAACAGATTAAAATTTAGGCTACATGGAATTAGCACCCACCCACCCCCCGCCCCCCATTTTACAGCAAATAAGTTAACTTAACTACAGCAGGTGTTGCAGATATTTAAAGGTATTCTGGGTAATGTAGTGTGGTGACTATGAATGTGTCTCATGTTTCAGTCTGCTTCAAACAAACTACCAAGATTTGCCTGAGATGTGCTGCCTTCACCTGGTGTATGAATGAGAGTGGGCAGCAGCAGCACTCGGCAGTGCCAAAATGTCATGGCGGACAATTTAGGAGTTTTCCACCAGCCTTCAGTCTGTACAGGAAGTCAGAAACGCTCCAATCCTGTTGGATCCAATCCCGATAATAAAATAAAAAAGAACAATAAGATCAAACCAGTTTTTATCTTCTTGTCAGTAGTAGTAGCTGTTTTAATGTTTGTCTATATGACAAGTGAATAATAACATACTAATCTCTATTATTCAAATATTGTTTGTGAAAAATTTTATGGGCACAATTCTTTTATAGGTTATCATATCAGTTTGCTGCTGTATATGAGCTGACCAGGCCTGATTTGATATGAAACTGCATAAACAAATTCATAACATTAATCAGTAGACATTTTCATTGTTGATCTGTCAGATATTTAGTCTGCCACTGCAGGACCTCTCTACAGATGTTATAAGAGTCTTCATATCCTACTTGTCAGAGGTTTTTATGTCGCTGAATACTTCACGTATTAAATCAGTGATGTGCATATTGTAGACCAGAACGCATTCAGCCTCTCTGACTGATGAACCACACATTGGTTCTGTTTACTGACTTTATAGTGCAAACACTGACTAAAAAAATCTAAATCTTTCAAGTTACAAAAGACATACATTTCTATAAAATATCATGTTGTTGATCCAACATCTCAACCAATCAGCTCTCAGATCAGGTACAAGCCAGACATTTCCCATCATGCCGGTGAGCTCTTGTAGCTAAGAGCAAAAGTGTTGCTTGGCTGCAAAAACTGTAGCTTTCTCGATCCCATGGGACTAGAGATCATATCTCTCCCATATTAGCTTCTCTCCACTGGCTCCCTGTAAAATTCAGAATAGAATTTAAAATCCTTCTCCTAACATACAAAGCCCTTAATGACAAGGCTCCATCGTATCTTAAAGACCTCGTAGAGCCTTATCATCCTAACAGAGCACTTCGCTCTCAGAGTGCAGGTTTACTTGTGGTTCCTAGAGTCCACAGAAGCAGAATGGGAGGCAGAGCCTTTAGCTATCAAACTCCTCTCCTATGGAACCAACTCCCAGTCTCAGTTC